ACATGAATGAAGTTACTTCTAATTTACAGTAGAGTAAATGAGACTAGAATCAGAATTTTTCACTTCAATATGTTCTGTATTGGTGGTTATTGATAGTGAAGATGGCATGGGAACTAACCAACAGCTAATCTTTCTTACTTGATCAGTGCTAGAAACAGAGCAAGTTATCTTAACTTTGTCTCATTTTAATGGTGCTGGTAAGCTAATAAATCAGTAGAGTGTTGCTGATATTCTTGCTATATTTGGATAATGGTACCTCAGCAAGATTTTGCATTGTTTAAAACAGGATCCTGCTTTCTACACACAAAGAGAAAATGCCTGAGGTTGCCTAAACAAGGGTAACAAATGCTTCTCATATCATCAGCAGTTCAAAAAAATCAGCAGCAGGTTTGAATAATATCTCTCATGTTAAAACTAGTTTTGAATATTTAACCTACAATTCATTACTGAATTGATGCTAAGACAAGAACAGACCTAAAGGAAATGTATTCTGTGATAGCCCATCTGCAAATGCATCATGTGATGGCCCATCATTATGTTACTTTATAAGGTTTGCTGATTAATTCATTCTTTTCACAAAAGAATACAGTATTCGTTTTTATTTTGTTGCCCTCTGCACATTACTGCCTGGTAGGTATTATCCTTACCACTCCAATGAAATTTATGGCTGTATAGATTTCCAAAGATGGCTTTTTCTTTCAGTCTTCCTCTCTTTCTCTTAACTTGCTCATTTATCAGCTTCACTAGTTGGTAATAACCCATCTACTTCTCAGGAACTCCTTAGTGCTGCTACCAGGGAGCAGCACTTCCACCTTGAAGTACCATTATAGGAGGAAAGCTACCAGAGAGGTTTCACAGGCAAAATCTGGAACTTGACTGATCAGGATGACTCAAGTAAATAAACAGTAAGGCTGAGGGTTTTCCGTTGAACTGCCCTGTGGCATATTCCATGAGAGACAAACGGACAGAGAAAAGCTGTTCAGTGAGAACAGTGAAAGGAAGACAGGAGGAAGGATGTGTTCACCTAGTCCATTTCTTCTGACAGCACAGCAGTCTGTTTCTCTTCAGTGGCTGTGCTCATGTGGTTTGCTTCCCAAAAACAAAATCACCTGCTAAAATGTTCAGCAAAAGCAGAAAAAAAACTTCCCCAGCTCTGCTGACTCTTAACCCAAGTTTGCAAAAATTTTAAAATTAATTCTACTTTGATAAAAGGCTCCTAATTTCATTTTATGGAACTAGTCCTTGGAATCACATAGATTTTAAAATTAAAGGGCTAGTCTCTAAGAGAAGAAAAAAATGCCACCTATTTGTGAAATTAATAAAAATGTAAGTCTGCAGTAGAATTATTGTTATGGAGGGAGAAATATGTTTGACAAAGCGATAAACTTGGATGCTGAAGTAAGGTTGGTATGTTCTCTATGCAAGTCAGTTCCTGTGAGCTATCAGATGCAATAAAGCATAAAATTCTGTTTGATTTATATTCATGTGGTCTAATATCATATAACAAGTGGCATTGAGAGCCATAAGACATATCTTCTAGGCCTAGTAATTTAATTTCACTATTTTTGGATTAGTGATGGAAAGTTATGGATTAGAAGAGATATCAATGTATGTGCACATTTTAGCTAAATAAAGTACCTGACAGTACTCTCCTGAGATAAGAAGATTGATAGATATAACCTTGAATTTAAGCTTCCTTCAAGTGCTGTGTAGCTAATATATTCTTTGTTTGTAGAAGTTTGTAAAACCACATTAAGCAGGCTTTGAACTGAAAAAAACCCTGTTAACAAAATAAGAATTACATACTTTGAAACATTTGCTGTATGCTTGCATATGAAAGGAACAGATTTAAACTGTTGCACTAGGCTTGATGCAAATAGTATAATTTAAAAAAAGATAAATCAGGACTAAAATTTATCTGGTGAATCTATTCTCCTAACATACTTTCACAAATTAGAAAGCCAGAGGGGATGACTACAATCACCTAATCTGACCTCTGGCATACCATGCCACGTGAATTTTCTGAATTAATTCTCATTTCAGCTAGCACTCATCTTTTAGACAGGCATTTGATCTTGATTTTAAAAGGTACAGCTAAAATGGCTCGATTTGAAAGCATTTCCTCAGTAGCAGAGTTTTGTACATGGCAAATGTTTTCACTAAGTCAAGGTTTACTCATACTTTAAAACTTAATCTGTTTGCACAGGTATACTTATTTATACAATCAAGGATCACATGAATCTTTCTGGCTACAGATTCATGATGAGCATGTGTGTTTAGCTGATTACACCTGATCTTTGGATCACCTGCCAACTTCTTCAAGGTCATTGAATGAGTGTAACAGAACCAAGAACTTGACAGTAGGAATGCACAGGCTCAGGGATGATTCGTTGTCTACCATTTCATTCTGAGATTCATTAGCTAGCCCATTTTTAATCTCTATGATGTGTGCTAGATTGATTTTTTAGTAGCCTGCTCCCTAATCAGAATGTGCTGTATGAATCAAAGTGAATGTCTTACAGTATGCTAGGAATACCAAATTTATGCATCTTGTTAATCTGCATAATCAATTGTTTATGTCTTTATCAATCAAATTTGTGATCTTATTGAAAAAAAAAGAACCTTAAGACATAACTTTCATAAATTCATGTTGTTTCTGAACATTTATACCCTTTAAATTCAATTCCCCTAATATTTGTAGAATTATAGAATGGTTGGAAGGGACCTTAAAGAACATCTAGTTCCTATGCCCCTGCTATAGGCATGGAACCTTCCATCAAACCAGGTTGCTCAAAGCCCCATCCAGCCTGGCCTTGAAGACTTCCAGGGATGGAGCATCCACAGTTCTCTGGGCAACCTGTTCCAGTGTGTCATCACTCTGACAGTAAAGACTTTCTTCCTAATATCTAATCTAAACCTACTCTCTTTCCATTTAAATCCATCCTTCCCCTCCCCCCATCCTATCACTACATACTCTTGTAAGGAGTCTGTCTCCATCCTTTCTGTAGGCTCCCTTCAGGTACTATAAGGCCACAATAAGGTCACCCCTAAGCCATCTCTTTTCCAGGCTTAACAATCCCAATTCTCTCAGCCTTTCCTCATAGGAGAGGTATTCCATCCCTCTAATCATCTTGCTGGCATTTCTCTGGACTTGCTCCAGCAATTCAGTGTCCTTCCTGTGCTGGGGACCCCAGAGCTGGATGCAGTACTCCAGGTGGGGTTACTATTGGTGCAGGAGGAAGAAAAAAGTACTCTGTGTCAAAAAAGACATCCCCTGTTTCAGACTTTATGGCAACTTGGAAGCAAATACTGGAATCACAAACATTTTAGCATATGAAACAAGCTGGAGCATGGGTGGAGTGTCTGTTACTGATTATCAAATGGTCATTCTCTAAGTCTCTTCACCACTAGCAAAGATCATGGCAAGCTCTTCAAATAGGTCTCTTTTTGTGTACCAGGTAGACCTGCATTCCCACATTGCCAGGAGAGTTCAAATCACTTCTCAAAATCCATACCTCAACTAATATAACCTTAAATGTTTTCACTAGTTGCAGTTCTTTGTTTCTTTAATCTTTGTTTATGATGTTTTCAAACTCCATCTTTCTAATTTATGTAAGACAGATGCTGATCCTACTTGTACATCCAAGTATATCTCACTCTTAAACATACTTAGACTAAAAGGTTTACTCAAATTCCCCGTGGAATAGGAAAGAAATTTTTTCTTTGTTTTACAGTGAAAAGAAAAAGCAGCAGGTATTCCAGGTGTAGGTATGCTGCACTGAACTTTGAAGGCAATAGACAAGGCTGCACACTGATAAAGAACAATTGAGGAGCCTAAAGTACTGTCTAGAGCTAAGCACTCTAAGCACAGTGGTAATGGATACCCAACTCTCTATTATGCTAATGTGTTGGAAGCAGAATTCCATCATAATAGTCCCTCCATTCCTATGGAGGTGTAGACCCTGCACTGAAATGCTTAACTGAGCGAAGTGTACCATTCCACAATAGAAACGGTGCTTACATCAGATTAATTAAATTATTCAGATAGCAAGTGAACAGACTACCTGAATAAGATGGGATTTTATCAGTCACGGAGGGACAAGTCCAAACTTATCCCTTCTCTTCCAGGAACTGTACACTGGGCAGAGTATGAAAATAATTCAATAAGCAATGACCAGAATCCAGGAATCCTATCACTCTGTTTAACTAGCACTTCTGGATTCTTTTGAACTGCTTTCTGCCGGCTCAGACCACTTCAGAGATCCCAAGCTGGACATTAGAAACAACTTCAGTGCACTGAGCCTGCATGCTAAAATCAAACTTAAAGTGAGCTCTCACAATCTTCAGATCTGATGAAGCCCCACACTTGTTTGTTCAGCAACCTTAGGGATTTTCTCACCAGGGTTAATTCCTGGTTTAGCCCCATACCAAGCCCAGCTTTCAAAGTGGCACAGAGACAGCCTCATTAACCACTTTTTTTTAAAGGCTCCTTTAATCCTTTGTTTCCTTTCACAACTGCCTTCCACAGCCTTTAATTTACAAATACCTCGAATATATCTGGAATCTAATGTAGAAAGGTCTAAAGAGAAGGGCTTTGTGCAAGAGAGGATGAGAGACCGAGGAGCAGGAGTCAGCAGAGGATGGACAACCTGGCAGTAGGGTTGGGGGTAGAGATGTGAGAGTGGGGATGGGTTGGGGCGAGGGCGTGCAGAGATTCGGGTGTGTGGGAGTGCATGTGCATGGTTTGGAGAACAAAAATCGGCGGCGTCTGAAACGGACGTGGCTTTTCCAGCCGAGTCAGGTGAGGCACTTGAGGCATGCAACCTACCCTGACCAGCCTTTTACCTGACCGGGCGGGCGTGCAACCTCCTCCGCGGAGGCTGCACTCTGCCCAGTGGGGGAAAAGGCTGGTCAGGGAGGGCTGCGGACCGACGCGGATCCCCAGTCTGTTCCCGCATTGGTTCCCGTAAGTTCCCGCGTCATTTTTCTCCCCACACCCCGCTTTTCGCACTGGCAACCACAAGCCTCGATGGACGGGCGGGAGAAAGCTCGGATGCTCTGAGAGGATCTAGGTTTGCGTTTGTTGTTTTTTTCTCCCTAGCCCCTGGAATAACCACCAGGGATGTCCGGAATACAACCCGAGGATGGTTCCCCTCCGTGCAGAAATTGGACGAGCGGGTCGGAACTAAACGAAACGCGGGAGGCTCTTTTAACTCCTTCCTCCGACTACGATGATGAGGAGTTCCTGCGATACCTCTGGAAGGAGTATTTGCATCCCAAGGAATATGAATGGGCGCTGATCGCCGGCTACATCGTCGTCTTCATAGTGGCTCTCGTCGGGAACGTCCTGGGTGAGTCGAGCTCCCCCAAACTTCCCTTTTCCCCTTCCCGAGATGGGTTTTGCACGGTGGCTGGAAACAGGGGTGGGTTTCGCATTCCCCGCTGGAAATGCGGGGGAAAGTTCAGGCGGCGCGGAAGGGGTGCTAAAACGCGCTCCCCCCTGCGCTGGCTGCCGCTCGGGGCCGGGCAGGGGGAGCGGGGCCGGCGGAGCGCACCGGGGCGGCCCGGCGGGGCAGTGCCGGCGGCTCCCGCCCCTGTCCGCCGGGCCGAGGTGCTGAACCCCACCGCCCCGACCGGCGGCTCCGCCTCTCAGCCCGCCCGGGAGGATGCTGCTCCCTCGCATGGCATGGCACAAAACAGAGACGGGCGCGGTGCGGGGCGCGGGATGCGGGGCCGGGACGGCACTCGCCCCGTGAGGGGAACCGGCGGTTCCCCCTCGGCTGCCGGCGGGCGGAGGACGCGCATCCCGTGCCTCTGCTCCAGAGGGGAAACAGGGCAGGCAGGGCGAGGCGGCCCCTCCCGGGCGCTCATTGAGGGAGCGAGGCGGGGCGGTGCATCCCTCGGAGCCAACCTCCTCCCGCTTCCATTCATCCTTGAAGAAGGCGGCGTGGGCGCGGGGGGTGTTCGGTGGCCGCCTCGCAGGGAACGAGGGTGCTGCTGTAGAGTGTCGGAAAGCCGGGGGCGAGGCAGGGAGGGGCACGGGTGGACTGGGGCGGCGGACAGCGGGAGGTTTACGGGAGCAGGCGAGGGCGGTGTGTGGGAGCAGCAAGAGGGGTCTGGCCGTCGGCAGCCTGCCCGCCTCTCCTCTCCGCTCCTCCGCTCTCCTGAGCCCGCTGCCCCTGTCCCCTGCGCCGGAGTCGTTCTCTGAGCTGTCGAAAAGGGCGCTTGTGCTGGCACAGGGGAGCGTGTCTTCTCCCCCCGCCGCCTGGGAGGGGAGCGGGGCAGGCGATGCTCGTCACCAGCTCCGCGTTCATGAATGGACGCGGTGAGGCTGCCGGGAGCAGATTCCGCCGGCAGCACCCGCTGGGCTGCCTTCACGGCCATTGGCATTCCCTGTGTCCATCCGTGATACTGCCATGAACGGAGGACGCGGAGCCCCGCCCCGCCTCACCATACGGGTCTTTCATTCATGTTTTTCAGAACGATTTCTGTGTGTCAGGGCTGTCACTGCGAGCTTCCCGAGGCGGGATGCAAATAAGACAGCAGCCAAAGGAAACATTTTGAAAGGCTTTTTTTCTTACAATGGACTGATGCTGCCTTTTTTTTTTCTTTTCTTTTTTTTCTTTTTCTTTTTTTTTTTCCTGGAGCAGTGCGCCAAGTGCCTGTAAACATCCACGTTTGCTCGGTCCATTGCTTGGCAGCCAGCTTGACAGGCACTGTAAAGATAAGAGTCCTGGCAAATATGCTGTATTTTAAACTAAGAAGAAAACTGCCCTTTTCATTTTGAGCAAAGACTGTTTTAGAACTACCTGTGCTTACCGGTTTGCTGCCATCCGTTCTGTAAACAAGCTGTCTTCTTGCCTGTAATGATTCAAGGTCAAATCTTCAGCTGTAGGAGGTTTCACCCTCTTTACACTTTTCCCCCTGAAGCCACGAGGAGAAAAGCTTTACTCTCTGTGCAGTGGCAAAGAGATGATATCGGGTGTTGATATGCAGCTGTTCTTCCCTAGCATTTGTGTATGTTACCTTTTTTGCTTGGGACAGAAACTTGCACCTGGCAGTCCACCCACCATTCCTTTTACTGGAATGTCCACTTTTTGTTCTCTGAAATCTCTCTTTGCAAGTTGTGGTACATGATAGCAAATCTGATAGTGTTTTTAAAATAAACAGAGCAGTACCTGGATGCCTTCCTATCCACTCCTTTAAATCACAGTAAATCATACAATAGATAATTCAGTTTTACAGTTGGACTCAATGATCTTAAAGGTCTTTTCCAACCTAAATGATTTTATGACTCTTCTCAAGATATTTGTTCTTTAAACTGTCTTTATGCATGGCATAGGCCTTACCCACATAGAATTGCTGGGGGTTTTTTTATGGGCAGGTTGTTTGTGATACCTGCAGGTGCAGGTGCTTGTTAGCTGAACAATCTCATCTTTATTCAAGAAAGCTCACACTGTACTGATTGCAGGCTCAGGTGATTCTGAGGAGAGAAATAGATCTGGTCTAATGCTCTTTCCAAAGAGATTTTTGTGAAACTCTTTTACTACTAGTGAAATCTGATGTAGAACAGCACATATGTTGGTGTCTCTGAGAAGCTGATTTCTCTTGCATGTTCAAAATTAATCTGGGATTTAGTCATGGACCTTCTTGAAGAAGAGCAAAAATGTTTCCAAAGAGTTTCAGTGGCTAATAGTCCTTTATAGCATCATTCTTAATGATGCATTATGTTCCTTTGCTTATATTTGACCAGTGTTGCAGGACTCATTTGGCATGCGAAATCAATGCTACGATTCTATTTTGTTCATGTCCTATTCAAATAGCACTTAAGCAATCAGGAAAGACCCTCCCCTTCCCTTTGTGGTACTGAAAATGATATTTCTGCCTCTTATTTTGGTTTGTGCACTCACATGGGATTAAGAGTGTCCAAGAAATAGCATCTTTGCAAGTGGAAGGCACAGCAAAGCCCTCAGATATTACTAATAAACTGAACTGAAGCATTCTGACTGTTAATTAACAACCAAGGGCAGAATCATAAGGTTGAACTATGATTGACATCTACTGGGCTCTTGAGTGAGATGCACAGTAGGAATTCTACTTATAGTGGCATATAACAAGGTCTGCATTGCTATTTAGCTTTCAATTTAATTAGGAGAGTTGACACACATTGTCTGAGCTGTTGCACAAACCAGCTAAAGTAAAAACCATTAGCAAGTCTCTGCACTTGAATGCAAGTTTCAGTATTGCATTCAAGTGTTTCACATCAGTGATTCTCTTGTGTGCCCATGGTGGCTGCTCACCTGGGATTCCAGCATAAGCCACTGAGAAGAAACAGATTTTAAAATGGTTGTAAGATGTACTTACATGAACATTCAGAGAGTATGAAGTCTAGATTATAACATCAGTATGATTGCCCTATTTTCTTCTTCACTCAGTCAATGTTTATCTTTAGAAGCAGAATAGGTGTTGAGGGGTAAGGACTTTCTCTTCTGTAAATAGGACCAGAAAATTTCTTTACAACTGTAGAGCAAATAAACTCCTGAAACGTCTTTGCACAGCTGGGGAAAACATAGGACTTCTTAATGGAGACTGTATGTTGACTATAAAGTCCTGTTTCTTCTTTATTTGAAAACATTGAATTGAAAACATTGCTTGAAAATAGAAAAATAGATAATTAAAGAAGGAAAGGTATTTTTATGGTGTACGGAGGCCTCTGGTTACTGATATTATTCCCCACTGACTAACTGCAGCAGTTAATAACTGGAGTAAGACCATAAGGAATTAATAACTGATGTACAACTACATATATTTAACTCAATTTTTACATGTAAAAGAAGAATGGGAATGGTCCTTGATGAAGTTATTAACTTACATCGGTCAGAATTTTTCAAGTGAAATGGTTTCTCTTAGAGAACATGCATTCATCAAAATAAAAATGTACATCAGAGATCACTCAATTTGATCATAGACTGAAGGCAGAAAAAGCAATTTTGTGACATCCTGCCAGCTGGGCTGCTGGGCCTCTTGGCAGCCCTCCCCAGAGCTGACAGGAGCTGAAATCTTTAGCACATACAGCCTGCCAGTGCCCAGCTTGAAAGTTCTCAGCACTGCTGGCTTCCAAGGCTATGACACCGTGCAGGACATCAGTGAGAAATCTTTCTGTACTTTCTGTACTCACATAATTTGGTCATACTTGTTTTTCTTTCCAACTCAGAATAAAATCACATTTAATTGGCAGAGAATTACTGTTTTATGGATAGCTGTATCATTCATTATCTGTCTCATAGTAACTGCTAGTTGTGCTGAGATTCATATGGAACCAAACTATGGTCCTTTCTTCAAAGAGTTCATAGTCCGACTCATAGAGTGCAACAGCATCCATTTTATTTTTAGGTAGTTTGATTTCTTTAGGGCTGGAGAAGAAAAGGTTTGTGTACAGCTCTAACATCAGAGTCCTACTCAATGCCTATCAATAGGCAACTGTCTCAAATGCTGCTCTGTTATCATTTTTAAGCTATCTGGTGAATACTGAAGTCTAGGTATACATACATGTGTTGGTAGAATTGGATGAGTCATGTATTCTCTTAAATAATCTACATGAATCCTATTTCATTGTTGTAAATGAGGCATAGTTTATTTAATCACATTTTAAATTATTGTGTTTCATTTTGTCCAGCTTACTTGGAGAATCTGTCATTGAGAGGACTTGATGTTTCTAGTAGCATCATGAGAATCACCTTTATCTGTTGGATGAATAATAACTAGAATGGCTTTAGCATTTCTAAAAAGATAACACATGGGAAATGATATAATATGTATACGTTTTGTCTAGCTAAGAGATAGAAACTTATGAGCTCATTTTGTGTAAGAGTTCAAGCATCAGCTGAAATACATCACTGTTTGCATAATACAGGGATTATTCACCATCTTTCAAAAATGGAAAAATAGTGAAGTGTTTAGAGTATTTCTTTGGGTTTAAATCATTGTTTATTTTCTGTGTTGCATGCCAAGCGAAACCTTCTTTGGGTTTTTTGGACATTAGCAGCTGACTTACTGTCTGTCTCACAAGTGGAATTTGTCGGAGAAGAACTACAATGGACTGTTCCCCAGGGTAAGGAGAACTAGGAGCTGAGGGCAGCAGCAAGACTGACAGGGCACTGTACTCATCAATACAGTCCCACTGTACCTGAGAGCTTGGTAGGTCTGGTGATGTTTACCAGGTTTCAGTCACCTCCCAGCAACCACCAGACAAATCCATAGTGACGAAGCATGTCTGAGGTTAAGCCAGAAAGTCAAGTCAGTGGATGAGGATCACAAATCAAATTCAGCAAGGCACAAGTGTTCTTGCAAC